CACCACGCCTGGCCCGGAACCTCTTTTTTAAGAGGCATTTACTTTTTACTAAGTTGGAACATTCATTGGAAAAGCTCTCCAAATAAATTGGAGTTCAATTAAAAAGGGAATAGACCCTAGATTTCTAACAATGTCAAATATTCACTGTAGCTGTTTTCTAAAATGCAAATTTTCTTTGCTTAAAGACCTCCTTGACTCTTCATTACCTTAGTATGGCAATAAAAATCATTCATTTCCTAGCCTTTACCCTCATCTCCAACTCAAAATTTACTGAATATATCAGGCCATGTGACAGAAGCTAATAGATAAAAAAAGCACTCTTACCTTGAGACATTCATAGTCTAGTGACAGAAGCATGATAGTACGACCACTTCTTGATTGCTTAACATGTCTAAAGCAGAGTTTACCAGCAATAATAGCTGGGGTCGCCATAAGTCCTTGTTTTTCCTATTGTCCTGGGATCGTTACTATCAGCACAAACCCCCTTTTTCCAGTCTCAAAAGTTTCTCAGTTTGGATGGAAATTATAGGTAATTCTAACACTAATAATACAGTATTTTCTCAGTTAACTCTCAAAACAATTCTGTGAAGGAATGAGATGTTACATTCCTACTGGATAATGTGAGTAGAGTTTTATAAAAAGACTATTTGCAAAGGTGTGTGCAAAATGAAGGGAAACCATAGGAGTTTACTCTGGGTCACCCTAGGGAGGGATACTGGCTGCTTCCTTTGGTTGAGGGATGCAGCCAGCCTGCCATGGTGCCATAGCAAGGGAGCCAGGGGGGAAAAAATAACCGTGCTCCTTCCTCTTTGTTCCATTGCTCTTGCTTCCCAGTGCCTTAACTCAAGAGGAAGGTAGAGGGAAAGAAAGTCCATTGAGTTAAGGCTCCAAAGGACAGACAGCAGGTTGGAGAGTGGATCTGGCCAACAGAACATGTCCTCTACCAGGACTCACTGTTACTACCCTATTTTACAATAGAAAAAAAAATGAGATGAAGAAAGTTGAACTTATTTAATATAACAAAGCTAATAAGTGATCATCTGCAGCTTAAGTGCCAGGTTCTCCCCACTCTGCCACTCTCTCGTTAAGGCTCCTATATTCTAGCAATGCCAGAATATCCATCCCCCGCCCATAGCATCCTCACATCCCAAATGAGATGTTGGAATATGTAACGTTAAGTTGTGCTGATTAGAATAAACTAACCTACCCACCAAGGTAGGGCATTGACATTCTTGTAATCTAAGCAGATGAGCTTATAGCATATACATTCACAAAATAAATAAGTACAAAATAAAAATTTAATAAATTCTACAGTCTGTTCTGGTGAAGATAACACACAGTTCCTTTGCAATTGCCCTTACATCCGGTTGGCGGTGTGGGGAGCCCTCTTTTCCCAAGCCTTACAGGAGGCCTCTGGTACATGGGCAGTGCTGCTGCTGTCTGATCCTCCTTATGGAGAAAGAACAAAATGTCCATGTACCAGAGCTGCAGAAGAAAAAGTATTTGTCTTCCCCCTCCCTTTGCACAGCACCTATCTGTGTGTAATCTTATTATTATATATTTTTTGAGACGGGGTCTCACTGTCACCCAGACTGGAGTGCACTGGTGCGATCTCGGCTCACTGCAACCGCCGCCTCTGGAGTTCAAGCGATTCTCCCACCTCAGCCTCCATAGTAGCTGGGACTACAGGCAAGAGCCACCATGCCCGGCTAACTTTTGCATTTTTTTTGTAGAGACGAGGTTTCACCATGTTGGCCCACCTTAGCCTCCCAAGGTGCTGGGATTACAGGCGTGAGCCACTGCGCCTGGCCCATTTATGTGTAATCTTAATTCAACACTAATTGAGCACCTACTGTATGTTTGGCATAAAATGGTGGTACCTAACTTCAAAAGATTTGGAGTCCAGAGGGCAGAAATTGAAGAGGTTGGTGCTCTGCACGTCTGAGTCCGCCCACAGACTGAACAAACAAGCTCTGTGTCAGCGCCGCCCCTCACCTTTCTTACACGGCCGGACTTTTCTCTGGTAGTTCCACAGCTGTCCTGCCAGTGGAATTCAGACGGGGTGACCGAGCCCCTCGCCTATCTACCGGCGCAAACCAGTATCAGTTCCGCGGCAGCCAGACACGCTCCCGGAGACTACTGACCCTCAGCCCAAGGCTGCGGGGGCGTCGGGAGTCTTGAGGCCCACCCAGGCAAGGTCAGCGGGACAGGGAGACTCAAGGCCCCCGGGGATCTGGGTGTTTGAAGACTCAGGTCAGACTCTGAGGCGCCCCAGTCTAAAGAGACGGTTTGTCTTTTCCCTAATTCAGGAGGCCAGGCTGTCCCTGGGGGCGTCGTCCCGAGGGCCGATCACAGCCCTTCCCTCCTCACCACACTTTGCCTGTGCTCTCCACCCAACTGGTTCCCTGCTCTGTCCGTCGCTGTCCTCAATCGCCTTGTTGTCGTGGGCCCCCTCTCCGGCCCACGAGGGGCCGAGGGGATCCACAGCTTATCTGACACACCTCGCTGCCCCACACGCACCGGGACCTGGCCATTCTGCCGGCCCCTCAGACAGGCAATAACACTCCAACGTCTGCTGGGAAAAAAAATCTTCCCCACGCCGGAGGAGTTCCCAGTCCCACGCGCCTACAGTCGCACCCACTCGAGCCACCCGCCTGGTGCTGTCGCCGCGCCCTCCAGCCGCAGCCCCAGCGCGCACGCCTCCGGGTCGCTGGGTCTGTCGCCAGCGATCGAAGTCGGCTGATCCCCCATGTGTGACCGCTCCAGTGACACCCAGGGGAGGCCTCGGTCCCTACGCTCTAGAGCAACCAATGGCTGCCTTAATTCTTCAGCGGGGGCGTTTTTTTTCTTCCTCCCAAGCAGGCGGCGGTTGGGTCGGCCTCAGGCAGCAGCGACTACTACGGCCTCCTCCTCTCCAGTGGAATCCCCTGTCCGCCCGCGCGCCACAGTGACAGCTTCCAGATGCCTGTCTTTTAGTCTCCCTTCTCAGGGGGAGCGGTGGGAGACCGAGTGCGGCCTGGAAGGCCCCCACGTGGGAAGGGAAGACTTGCGGAGGGGCAATTCTTCCAGTGCGGAGACGTGGCGTCCCGCCCAGCCGCACTTCGGTCGCCCACCGCTCCGCCTGGTGGCTCGCAGCCCCTTCCAGGCCGGCTTCTCCAGGTGGGGCGTGCTAGTCCAGGGCTAACTTTGCGCCAGGTGTTGTCCCTGCGACCCGTCTTCCCCCGGCCGCCCTTCCTTCTCCCGGCGGCCACTGGAGCTGCTGGCTTCGTGGGGCGCGTGGCGGGCCCCGGGGCTAGGAGCTCGCGCCCAGGCTTTTACTCGGATTCCGGCACCTGATGGAGCGGGGAGTGGCGGCCAGCGCACAGGCTGGGGGCATCTCATGGCAGCGGAGAGGGTCGTTTTGGGCCGGAGGGGCGAACCCTGCGGCCCGGGCAAGCGGAGCCGGACTCGGAGCCCGCCCACCATCCTCCCGCCCACCACCGCGGCCCGGCGCGCAGGCTCACACCCCTTCCTGGGGAAGCGAATGGTCCCTTCCAGGCGGGTGGCCATGTTGCTCTAATAAAGCGGGAGGGGCGGCGGCGTGGGGGGAGCAGATGCCGCTGGCTGCGAGCGGGACTCCGGCGAGCAGAGCGCAGCCGCGAGGGAGACGCGAGGGAGGCGAGCCGGAGCTGGAGCACTAGCAGCAGCCGGAGTCGGCGGAGAGCACCCGGGCTCAGCCGGAGCCGGTGCCGCAGCTGCGATGGCCGTGGCCGTGGGGAGACCGTCTGTGAGTGCTGGGGCCTCGCCTGCTGCTCCTCGGGCGCCGGGTGGTCTCTGCTCTGGGGCGGGTGTGGTGGGGACCACAGGGGAGCCGGGCGGGGGCTCGGCCCCGCGGCGGCGGCTGTGGGTGTGTGCACGAATTTGGGCGCGTGTCTGGGGTCCGGGTGAGGAGCCCAGGGGCTTAGTTACGTGATGCAACAGTGGATCGCCTCGTCGCGCCCCTCTTCTGAGGATGCGAAAGAAAAAGGACCCCTCTCCTGTTCCCTTTAAAATGATTCTTTGAGGCGCGGCGTGTCTCAGCCGCCTCCCTCTCCCGGCGCACCTCTTCCCTCGTGACAGCCAGAAGGGCACCGGGTTCGGGGCTTTCCTCCTGTCTCCCCCGCGCCGAGGGGGCGCTCAGGGCGTGGGAATTGCGAGCTGAAGCGCTGCGTGTGGTACGGCTGTAGAAGCGGGTCAGAGGGGTGGGATTTCCGTGGTGGCCTCCCCAGCGCATTGTGAGATCCCTGACACCCTCGGGCATCCACCCGGGTGAGCGAGCCCTGCCCAGGATGTGGACAAAGCCCCAGATAACACACACAAAGTTTTCTGGAGGCTCCCTTGTGGTGTGGGTGGAAGGATTGAAATGTTCTGCGGCTGAAAGGCCGGGGGCGGCGGGCTGAGGAGGCTAGGACGCGAGGAAGAGGAAGGGCGGGCGGGTGCGTGAAAAATCGAGTGCCCCACGGCGGGAGGGAGGAGAGTAGGAAGGAGGAGATACCTTTGCCCCGAGTGTGTGGGCCAAGGCGCCGCGCCTACTGGGGTGCAAGACTCGGTCCGCGCCCCGGGGCCGGGCCGGAGGGGAGCGGGACTCTGAGGGTGCGGTTCAGTGGCCGCTCCGCATCCCCAAGTGAAAGGCGGAGGAAGGGGCGGCGGCGGCCTTTCCTTTTTATTGGAAGGAGCGGAGCTGGGTGGGAAAGGCGGAGTCCTCCTGTTTTCCCTTTCCCCTTTTCTTGTCGATGTTCACAGTCCACTCTCGCCTTACTGGCTTTGGGGGCGCCTCGGGCGAGGTCCTTCCCCGTCTATCACCTCTTCCCTTTCTCTTCTTCCCTTTCCCACAACTGTGCAGCTGCAGGTGGTGGCTCGGAAGATTTTATAGTTACGGACGAAAGACTTACTGAGATACTGGAAGCTCGGAAATCCCAGAAATGCAAGGCTGTGCTCTCAGGCTCCTGGCTCTTCCCCCTTTCCCCGCCTAACTCCTCCCCAGATACGCGCGCCTTTTGCATCCTACCCCCTCGCGAGAAGTTCATGGGTCCCTTTGCGGATTCTAATTCGGTTTGGTGGTTCGGCTGCCCGCGGTGCTTTCAAAGACGTTTTCTGCAGTCAGAAGACAACAGTGGTCATATCGAATCATAACTGTCTTTTAGGCCTTTTCAACTCTACGATTTAATGACATGGCTCTTTTAAGAATTCTGGCCTTCTTTTGCACATAAATTGTGCTCTCGATCATTAGTGGTCACACGTAGATTATTGTTACTGAGGAAATTTGCATAGTCTCGGCTAGTCGTTTTATTTTTTGGTGAGAAAATTGAGGTCTATAGAGGTCAAATTTATCTGGTTAAATTACTCTTCCCCCTGCCCGCATTATACCTATTAGCAAGGCGTAGATTCAGATAACTAAAATAACAATATCTGCTTTAGAGAAATTGGTAAGCGTTTAGGAATGCAAATATTCAGTGGGGGTGTATGTCTTTTTCAGTAACACCTATTATTGCTGGTGCATTCTTGAGGGATGGAGGAGGTGGAAGAAATAATTAGCTGCACATTTTCTATAAATTAGTTCATATATGTCAGTTAAATAGAAACAGTATGTGGATTTAAGGTTTAGTTGTGTGGCTATAATCATATCCAACACCAAGTCGGCCAACCATATGTGAGCCTAATCCCACAGAATTCTTATGTTACACCTCCCTCTTCAGATAATAGAGGAGATTTTTTTAAGTATATGTGCACAGAGGAAGTGACTTCTTTCTGCGCACTCCCTGTTGTCACTGGAATTAAATTATAACCTAAAGATAGAAGACTTTTCTTTTGGAAACCTAACGTATGGGTGATTAGGAATTGATTATAAAGTTAGAAAGTCTACAGAAAATGTATGATCACATTTCACAGAGAATTGTTGAAGCCTTTCACTTTGTTTGTTGGGTTACTGTCTTAAGTGTGGTCTCTGCAGTTATGGCTTTAAAACAAAGTCAGTGAGTGGGGAAGATTCTTCAGACACAGCTCCATGGAATCTACACGGCATCTTTAAAGTTAAGAGTTCTCTGGCCCTCCCATTTCCTTATCTAGTCTGTGATTTCACCAAAAGAAAGGTAGGCTGCGCTGAGGGAAAAGAACCACTCCAAAGTTGATTTATGTGTGAATGGAGTTTCCCTAGTTATTTCTTCAATTAGATTTTTTAAAAAGTTATTTAGGACAACAGGAGCATATCTCCTTTCCCGATAACTACCTCTCCCCGCCAGACTGAAGCAAAATGTAATCTGAATAACTTACCCTGAATTTTCAATATTCTTGAATGGGAACATCTGAGTGTGATATCCCAGGTAAATATGACATTTTAGTGGACAAAAATGCTTACATGTCAAATGCGCTATTTTCTATCTTATGAAATGGATATATTCTGTTACAAACCATTCAAACCTCAAGTCTAAATTCAGTTACGTTTAGGTGGATTTGTTATTGACTGCAAAACAAAGGCTTCAATTTAGTGTGATACTGTTTATTTCAGTTTTAATTTTGATCCCTAGCTTCTCCATTTCCCCACTGATGGGTTTTGGGTTTAGCCCTAAGAAGACCCTGAAGCACATCTGCTGTTTGCCTGGTATAACTGATGATTAGCAAGAACATTTTACCCCCAAGGGATGTGTCTGCATTTTGGATGAATTAGCATTTTTGCGTCCAAGTCCTGGGGCAGCTATTATCTTTATTTTAAACAGACATGGCAATTCACTCTACTTGAGAATCAGGCTTTATGTAGCTGATCGACTCTCTTAAGCTGTGGTGTTCATCAGTTTATAGATTCTAGGAGTTGAAAGGAACTTTAGAGGTCACTTGGGTTAGCCTGCTCCCCAGTGCAGAAATATTTCTTTATCCCTAACAAAAAGTATGTTTAAACTTTGCTGGTGGTGGAGATTTCCCTATGATATCCTTCAAGAAATGCACTTAACTGCTCTTTTATCTGTTGAGCATATAAGGAAATGGAAAACCAAGTTTCTATTTGCTCATTTAACACCATTTATTAAGCACCTGCTATGTGTCTGGTACTATTCTAGGTGTTGGGGATATAGCAGTGGACAAGAAATTTTCTTCTTACCAGGAACTTTATTGTTTGAGAGATTTGGTGTATTCAAGTGACAGACTTCAGTGTAAATGTGTAAAATCATTTAGGGAGAAAAGGAATTATATGCCTATTGCTGACTCAGCAAATATGATTCAGGTGAAGGTTCATATCTGTCTGAGGATAATTATAGGCGATTCCTAAAGACGAGGTCCCTCTTCAAGGGCAGGGAGTGTGGGAAGGGGAGGAGTACTGCCAATAAAATGTTATTTTCCCTTGTTATAAAACTGCCATTTTTGTGACTTGAAAATGTGGCCCCAGATGGATGGCTGTGGTCAGTGTGCCTGGAGAAACATGAATGGAGCCAAGAAAGGTCCAGGGGAGGGCCACCTAAATAGTAAAGGGGCTGTCATCTCAGGTCGGTTTTCAAAAGTTAGAACTTTTTAGTCAGTGATATAAATTATACACACTGAGGCTCTATAAGCAGTTATTAAGGAATGCAAGAAGTTTCTGAGGTACAATAATCTCTCCTTTTAAAATCTTTTGAAAGCTATAGATTAATTTTATCTTTTAAATTATATTCTTTAAAAATGATGTGTCTACATTACAGTGAAAAGGAAACCCAAGGAATTGATTAAAAGAACAAAACTGCCCATATCCCACTATCCTGATATAGTGGCTCTTAGGTGGTTAGTCTATTTCATCACTTTTTTGAGCAAATATAACCCATCTTGTATAAACTGCTACCTAGAAACCAAACTGTGTGCCTGAATGAGTCCTGTGTGACCATTTGAATAATCTTAGAATAAAGGAAGTGGATGCTTAGTGTTTGGGCATGGGCCATCCTATGTCTGTGAAAGGAACAAATGATTGTGGGACTCTGCTGTTTCCTTGATTTGGATGGCCTACTTGATTGATTGCCAAAAGACCAAGTGTTTATACTCTACCCAATGATGATGTCACACTGATCATGATCATCGGATTTAGACTGTGGCACAGGCCACAGAGTTTTCTGTGCCTGTGTTTCTCTTTATAGGGCTCTAAACTTGGTTGGGGATAGATGCCGCTCTTGGATTTTATCATTTTATTGGGATCCATCTTTCATAGTCTTAGCTAGACTTGTCTCAAATGGGATCAGCAAAGCTGAACCATTATTTAAATGAACTAAATCTTCTATCCTTTTTCCCAAGGAGATCTACTTTACAATATAATTGATGCCCTCCCCCACCCCCTTTTAAAAAGTCTGGATTGACAGAAAACTCCCAACTAAACAGTACTTCCCCTGACCCACTCATGCCTGCTGGCAGCCCATCAATGCAGCTGCTGTTGAACATAAAAACAAGACTTGGGCTAAGGTGATAGAGACAGACTTCTAAAAGGAATTTGCTGGGCGATCTAAAATAAAATTCACATTGTTCCAGGCTTGGCCTGAGATAGAAATCAGAAGTCTGTTCCCTGATGTGACAAAGCCAAGGCAGTAGAGCCACCTCTTTTTGGGATTGACGCCAGGGCGTGTGAGCACATCGCTCAAGCCAAATGGCACAGGAAGTCCAGTTGTGTGGACACATTCTGCCCACCTGCTGAACTGTGACTGGGTGGGATGGAGTGTGAAACATTGAGAGAGGGGCAGGCTGAGGTGGAGAGGTAGAAAAGAGACCATATTCCAAAAGGACCATTTTTGGTACTGACA